ATCAGAGGTAGTCTGCCCCATAAAAGGGGTAGTGAAAACTGACTCCTTGGGATGCCCTCTCCATCTGAACTAGCACCACACCACACGACCTATCCACCCTGAGGCCCTGCCAGCGACCCCCCTCGGGACAACACCTACTGAACAAGGACCTCTTTCCAGCCTGGATAGGTAGCTATCACCCCCCACCCCCTCTTCAACCAAGGACTTGGACTCTGCTTCTCTTCCTCACCTGCACTCCAACCCTTCCACTGAGTCTCTTTTTCCTACTGCCATTGTGAGAGAGAGAGTGAGAGTGTGTGTGTGTAAACTAATAACTTCATGGGGCTGTGTGGCATGTTGTCTGTTTAATAAACCTGTTATTTGGACCCCTGAGTTGGGTCTTGCTTTACTGTGGTTCAGCCCTGCTCCAATCTCTGCTCCTTGCTCCTGTAATTTCTGTCTCATTTCTCCCTCTCCTGCTTCTGGCTCACTGCCACCTCCAACACCTGTCCTGAGCTCCTCTCTGCCTCCAACCCCCCTGTTTCTTTGCCACTGTCTTATCTCCACTGCCTTTTTCCCTGAGTAACCAGGTTTCTGCCTCAGTTTCTTTCCTGGCTGTCTCCTCCTTGCCACCACTTATCTGCCGCCCCCCTCCCCCAATATCTCAGCTGTCTGCCTCAGTTTCCAGCTCCCAGGTTTCTGTCTCTCTCTCTTTCCTGGCTGTCTCTTCCTTGCCACTGGGCTTCTTTTTTTTTTTCCCCCTCCCTTGCACCAGTGACCTCGAGTAACCCTGGGGCCACTTGATCTCAAGTAAACCTAAGCCTCAGTTCCTCAGCCAACTTCTCTCTAATCTACCGGTTCTAGTCCTGGTTCTGGCAACTTTACCTCACTCTCTCTCACCTTAACCTTCCCCCAAGTATCCCAGATACCCCAAGCACACGCATACATACCATGCCATCCAAGTTAGGAACTTACCTATGTGTAGGTGGGTTGTCTGTGTGTGAACTGGTGAGAGTGTGTGTGTGTGTGTATATGTCATTGTGTGCATGATATATGAATTGGTGATCTGTGTATGTGTACTGAGTGTGAAGGTATGGACAATTGATTTTTGTCTAACTTTTGGGGTGTATAGTGTATGTGCTTGAATTGGTGATAGGTATGCATGTGCCTAGGCTGTTTGCATTTGTGTGTGCCTGAGTTGGTAGTGTGTGTGTTCATCCAATTGATTTGTGTGTTTGTATATGTGCAATTGTGTTACGTCGTCCTGTCTAACAGTGCAATATTGAGATTCTGAGAGTTGGTCTGACCCCACAGGGCAACAAGTGTATGGGGAGTGGGAGTTGGAGGTCCAGGTCTTGGGGATTGTCTGGGGGTACGTGGGGATGGGTGTGGGGGGGAGGCAGGTGCCTGCCAGCACTAGAGGAAGGTGGCTGGGCGCTGAGGCTGCGTCTGGGCAGGGGTGGGGAGGGGAAAGGTGCCTGTCTCTCCAGTAAGGGAAGTGGGCTATGGGACATCCTTCGGGGCAGCAGGGAGCTGTGTGGCTAGGCATTGTCACTGGGGCCAGTGCCCATACTGAGAGGGGCAGGGCAACTGGGAAACGCTGCTTGGGGGGCGGGAGGAGCTATGATCAGGCTGCCTGGCACAGTGCAGGAGCCCCAGCCCAGGGCAGGGTGGAGTGCCACAGGCTCCCCGCCTTCTCCCTCCAGCCTGTGCTGGGGCCAGACTCACTCTGCTGCCTCCCACATGAGCCAGAGCTCCTGCAGCCACCATGCTGTGGCCCAAGTTGGATGGGGGCAACTGGGTGTTCCCTCCAGTAGGGCTGGGAGGGTGCAGGGGGCTGCAGGTTGGGAGTGAGGGACACCAGCATGACCCAGGAGAGCAGGGAACTGTGAATCAGGAGCGAGGGCACTGACAGGGCCAGGGGTCAGTGTCTTGGGAGTGAGGGGCACTAGCAAGGCCAGGGGACTGTCGCTAGGGAGTGAGAGGCACCAGCAAAGCCAAGGGACTGTGGGTCAGGAATGAGAGGCACTGGCAGGACTAGGGGACTGTGGGTCAGG